TCAGTTCAACTTTAAATGGGTTAGCTGATTTCACTAATCCTACATCTGTTTCATGTTTTGACCATACTGATTCAGGAACTATCTTTAACATGTCCTGCATTAATGGGTTTTCAACTGACTCATCTTTTTCTTCTGTTTGTTTTGTGTCATTAATCTGTACTGTTACCACCTGTGGTTTTGCTGTCATAGTAGTTTCACTTATTATTTGAATCATTGTTGCATCTTCTGATTGGAAAATTAATGGGCTTTCCGTCTGTTCCCATTTAATCTGTGTTGCGACTTTCATCATTGGTCCAAGATCTTTGGCATGAAAGTTTTTATTTACAAACAAAGTTATGTGTGGTACAGATTCTGCAACGTTGTACCATTGAGAAATGAAATCATTAATTTCTACATTTAGCGCTGCTCCTTGTTTCCCAACAATGATATATTGGGACTCAAGGTTCACTGCTTCACCTTGTGTTTCTTTGTCCCATTGTTCTTCAAACTCTGTACTTTTTGAAATGTCATAGTACATTGTGCAATGATAGTCTAGAAATGGTTTCTTAGCTTCTGGAATTTGAATTTGAATGTACTGTCCCCATTTGGAAATTACCTCTTCAATAGAGTTATTAATGTCTCCAAGCCAATAAACTTTGGCTTCATGTTGTTGCATGAACATTTGAAGATCCACACCTTCTTTTTCAACATACACACCTTGAGGAGAACACCAGATTTTTATTTTTAATTTGCATAGAGCGTCTCTTCCCAACAGGTTTATTGGGGTTTGATCAGATACCAAAATTGGTATTTTTATTTCATTGTCATCTGTTGTAAGTCGAACAGGAGCTGTCATTTGGATTAATTGTCTTGTTCCCGAGAACCCTACTGTTGATACAAATTTATCAGACATGGGGAGATGCGTTGCATAGTTTGGACTTACACAAGTGTAAGCTGCTCCTGTATCGACCAACATTGGAGTTTCTCTGTTTTCAATTTGAATTTTCAATATTGGTTCATCGTCAGCACCTGTAGTTAGAATTGGGTACTGACTCTCTCCCCTAGGGTCCTCTGGGCATCCCTAGTATCCAAAATTTGGTGGATTGTATTGAGCTGGTGAATTTTGTTGAACTGGTGGATCATATGGGACTCCTTGAGGATCGTATGGAGTTCCCTGTTGATTGTATGGAACTGCTTGGTGATTGTATGGGGCTGTCGGTGGACCTGGTCTGGCTCTGCCACGCGGCCGTCTTTGGAATGAGTTGTCACCATTTCGGCACTGGTCAGCACGATGTCCAAAACAACCACATGTCCAGCATGCTCCGGGTGCTCTGGGCGGACCGCCTCGTCCCCTGTTAGGCCATGAAGGGCTTTTTTGCTGTCTTCCTCGAGGCACAAATGGACGAGAGTTCCATGGTTGTGAATAAATATTCACCACTGGTTGAGAAGGCTGAGTCATTTGCGAAGTTGGAGTATACATCTGTGGCGCTGAATTCACAGAATTAGGAAGGTTGGCTACATTTGGGGCGGGATGCTGGTCCCCCCTTACCACTGCAGCTTGGGTCTTAGTCTTGTTTTTTTCTTGAAGTTCTCCAAGCTGTAATTGAGCCAATTTCCTTTGAATGTTTTTGTCTTGGTCAGTGCGTTTTTGTTCATCTTTTCTGTATTTTTCTATTGCGTGTACCACATGATCACGAAATTCCTTGTGTGGGATAGACATCAGAGCCACCACCTCTTCAAGTTTGGTGCGCACTGGCTCTGGCATTACATCCACCAATGATTTTCGAAGCACACCTGCAATCATTGGGTACTCGTCAACATCAAACTCCATTACTTCGTTCCACCTTCTCAACTGCCTGGCGACGTAGGATGCTGGATTCTCCGAGTCACCAATTGGTTCCGCTTTCATGTTCTTAGGGTCTACTTTGTTTGGAAATTCTGCCCTCAAGGCTGCCCAGATCATTGTCCGGCATGCATTTAGTTCAATCCCGTCTGCTCTTTCTTGTAGCATCCAGGGATGATCCTTCAAAATGTTCTGCATGGTGGGAATTCCAACAACTTTTGCTAGAATGGCTTTGATGTCTCCAAGTGCCAGGATTTTGCCAACTGTCTCTTCTTCAAGTGCTCTTATCCATCTTCCTGCACCATTATGAATGTCCGGCAACCGCGAGACTAACCCTACCAGATCCATCGAGGCAAATGGCAAATATTGAGCAATATCTCCTTTTAATATGATTGGTAATTGTTTTGAGGGGTCATAACGATCAGGTTTGCGTATGTCAGGTCTGGATCTCAAATCGTATTCTTTTTGGTTTGGGGCTTTTTGTTCTTTTACCGGAGTGCTTGTACTCGGACCAGCCATTGCTCCGTCTTCACCATTATCACATCCTGGCTCCTTTTCAGCTAATTGCCTAAGGCCTTCATCAATTTCTTCCTCTATGTCCTGTATCTGTGTTTGGTTTGCTTTACGTTCTATATTAAGGACTTCTGGACCTAACCTTAACCAATAAGCGTCTCCGCTTCTGCGTCTTTTCAGATGACCCGCGTAGCCATCAAAAAATTTATTATTATTACTTCCAGCATAGCAGTCAAGAATTTTAATATTTCCAACTGTCCGTGTTGTGGAGCATCCGGCACCAGAGGTTTGACTTCTGGTTTGGACTGGCGGTAATGATGTGTCATATCTGCCAGCTGGCTTATAGCCATCTGCATTTGCATATGATGTCGGTAGTTCCATGCTTTTTGAGTGCTTATTATTTGTGCTACTGTCTGTAGCACCTGTGCTCGTCTGTGGTGGACCTCTGGGTGGAGCTGGTGTTTGAGCTACTGGTGATCGTGGTGTGTGCCCTGTAGAGNAAAACTTTTTCCACAGGTCCCACATGAAAATGGCTTTTCACCTGTGTGATGCCTCATGTGCAGAGTTAAGCCAAGTTTGTGAATAAAACTTTTTCCACAGTTCCCACATGAAAACGGCTTTTCACCAGTGTGAATCATCATGTGCCGAGTTAAATTTCGTTTTTGGATAAAACATTTTCCACAGGTCACACATGAAAACGGCTTTTCACCAGTATGAATCATCATGTGCTGAGTTAAATTCGGTTTTTGACTAAAACTTTTTCCACAGGTCACACATGAAAACGGCTTTTCACCTGTGTGAATCCTCATATGAGCATCAAGAGAACATTTGAAAGCAAAACGCTTTTTACACGTCACACAGGAGAAAGGTTTTCTTCTTTTCTGATTTTGCTTCTCAGCTTCAGCAGCTTCGTGGAAGACAACTTGCTTCTTGTTTGGTTCTGATTCAGTTTGGTTTGTTTGTTCATAAACAGGAACCACCATGCAGGTATCAGTCTCCTGTTTTAATTCAAGCTGTTCTTCACCCTGACTGGAGTAATTTTCTTTCTCTTCCACTTTTATTTGTTGACATTCTAGATCCAGCTGCTCTTCTTTTATCTGTTGATCTTCTGGCTCTTCTTTTTCTTGTTTCACCTGCAGAGGTTCTAACTCGTCCTGGTCCAGACTGGATTTCCTCTCCTGGTTATACATCTCGTTCTCATAAACGTTATGTTGCAGGCAATCTGGAGAAGAAAACAGAAAAAAAGAGGAATTGTTAACGTTACTGAAGTAAATAACAGACTTTCATCATTTAAGACAGAAATCACCAAATAAACATCTGAAAATTCAAGAGTGCAGACATTCATACAGAGTACACATATTCAGCTGACATTTGGAAAATTACTAAATTAAATATTTCTGATGAATTTATTCACTGTAGGCATTATTGTTATTGTTTAAAAATTATTTTCTAGTATTTTCTATGTTGGACCTATGAACTTTTTTTTATTACTTTGAACTTTGAGTTCAGTTTTATGTTAATCGTTTATTTTATATTTTTTTGTTTCTTTACCTAGCCCTAACCCCATCTCCACAAACCTAATTTTGTTCTTCTGCATTCAGCTCTTCAAAAGATTTAGTCCTGCTGTAAACCAAAAGTAATACATAAAATCAACAGAACAGAATGGAGTAAAATTCCTTTTTCTAACCTATCAAATATAATAATCAACCCTGAGTATAAAAATTAACACAATCATTTTCCAAAACCCTTTCACCATAAACCTGAGCAATTTTCTAATACTAAACAAAACATTTTCATTCACACAATTTCCATTTGAATCTGACATAGTAACAGATAATACAATTTCAAATACATGATCTCTATTTTCCTTCCCGTAAGTTGAATACTTACCCATCAATAGTTTAGTTTTAAATCATTAACACAAACCTGTTCTAAATTAAGAATTTTGTTCAAAATGACCATGCTCAATATACCTTTTACACATGACGTAAGATTAACTGTATTAAACACTAAAAATATTCATTTTCCTCAACACTAACCTACTCTCCACTTTCTTTATATTTTAATTACAGCTTTTTACTGACCTGTGAAATGTGATCCCCTTGGACCTTGTTATCTTGCTGTCATAGTGTTGACAATATCAAAACTATTCGTCCCCTTTTCAGATTCTTTGCTTGATTGTGTCATTTCCCCACCACTGATATTCCCGGGTCAATGTAAAACAATAGAACATGTGCCACACTGCAAATCTCGATGTCCAATCCACTAGATCAATGAGCAGACTTGCCATTTACGTTTTACAGTGCGTAGCTGCTGCAGAGTTACTGTCTGCACATAGGTGCAGGCACATAAAGAAAAAAAGGAGAAGGAAATACTGGAGGGGTCTGTCCCCGTCAGGCCAAAGTTGGTGGGGACATGTCCACACCAGTCCTTCGGGAAGTTATGTCCAAGATCACTTCAAGTTTCTTGGACATTAAACTTCTTTTACCTGCGTGCGACGTATCACCTCAGTGCAGCAGTGGTTTGTTGATTGGGCTTTTATGGGATATTTGGTTTGACAGTCGCCACTACAATTCATTATAAATTATTAAATATTACCACTGATATTTTATGTTGCTCATGTGGCATACACAAAAAGTACTGGTTTCTATTATTATTATTAGTTTCTTTTTCTATTTTGAGATGTTTTTTATGTATATTTCTAATTTCGAGATTTGGCACCTATGGTAATTATCTTTATTGCAGTAGCAGAGAGCTACCAGTAGGAGGCAGTGTGCTCTCCTAATTGCTCCAGAATCTATATAACTGACAACCGGCTTCAGAATAGATTCTCTATGGCATGACTTTTTATTTTTTTGGGAAAAAAAATACAACAAGCTCCTGCATTCTTTGGGAGCTTGTTGGTCCCTAATTACATATCAATCATAAAATTGGACCCTGACACCTCCCAGAACCGGATTTGCCTAAGGGCAACATTGCGCTACAAGGGGTCTAAAACGCCAAGTTTTCTACAGTGATTATGAGAAATGAAATACAAATCAAACAAAAACTATATTCATAAAAAACTTTTTTTTGACAAAAATAAATCAGACATGGTTCCAACTCACCAAATATAAAATAAACAACTAACTTTCATTAATGAATGGTACATTTGCACAAATTACTAAAACGAGCATTTGTGTGTTTGTACATGTGTATGTTTGGCAGAGTTAGAATCACTAAGGATGTTGAAATTAGTCTTTTTCCCCATTATATGTTAAACATCAGGAAGGAATTGCTTGCTGATGTGAAAAAAAGTGTATCACTTGATTATTGGCGTACCTGGGAATCACCATCTGTTTATCTGATTATCTATGGGTTGTAGCGACCAGATTCACATCAGTGACAGGACTTAGGGCTGCAGGTTCTTTTTTTAAGAGTTTGTAGTTCTGATTTTTTTGGTAGAATTTGAGCCAAGCAAAGGATAACATTTCCACCAGCTCCCATATCTGGTAGATTTGGTGGTGGTACGGCTCGCCCTGTGTAGATTTTCAAGTTGTAAGGAACATTATCTGCACCAGCGATATGAAGTACCCTGCAGACCCGTATATTTGGGTTTAGCAGGTATTGCTTCAGTCTTTGCCTGCCTTCGAATGGGGCCATTTGTTCATTGATGACCAGCTCTTCACCCTTTGGGACTGAAATTAGTTTTGAGGATAAACAAACAATGAAATAATGGTTGTACAAAGGATCCTCATGTTTTCATTGGGAATGACCCCAGCTTATGCACATTTTGTCCATGAAATGATCTTGCATCTATTTCCTGTTGCTGTTAGTCAATAATAAAGTAAAAAAATTGGCTTTGATAATTATTTTGTGATCAATTGCATATCATCGCATTAGAATAATATTGTCTGAGCAAAAGGGCCCTAACTGCACAATGTTGCCCTGAGGCAACATACAAAAGAACACAGTTTTAGCGTATAAATTATTTTAAAAAAATTGTCTTGAAATGATCTATAATGCTTCTTTACAAACTCACAGATATTAAAATATTTTTACTCAGAGTGACCCAATTTTAAACATGAAGAAAAGTGATGTATAACTTCAAGTAGGAGGCAAGGTGTAGCATGCATCTCTGCTTCATAAAAAGGACTGCTGCTCTTCTAAGTAAAAGGTCACAGGAACCTCAATACCTCTTTTATTTGGACAAAAATATGTCTGGAGGTATTCTAAATAATTCCCCCCCAAAAAATAAAATAAAGGAGCAACGTGAGGTACAGAAATGTGGTTTGTTGCCCAAGGGCAACACCATGCCATAGAGGGTTTTAATTTGCAAAACGACATTATGCATCTGGAAAAAAAATATTGTGTGGGCAAAAAATCCTGTAAAGCACATATGTGCAACCTCAGTTAACTATGGTCTTATAGGTGTCCCTGTTTCATCCTGAAGTGAGGGAAGTACCTGGTAAGGTATTGTTTATGTAATCTGAAAGATTTTTTTGCATGTCAAATGTCAGCCATTTTGATTGAGGTAGCACATATGTGGTTCACAGAATTTTTTGCCCACATAATATGTTGTAATTTATTTTCAGATACATGATTTCCTTTAGCAAATCAATTAACACAAAGTTTTACATTTTTAAAGCCGCAGGAGAGAAACATGAATCAAACATAAACCGGAGGTCCGCTTTTATTTTGAAAAGCCTGCCTGGGGTGAAATCAGAAACTGAAATTTTAAGTTATCTTCCGTTGCAATCAAACTCTGTCGGAGAGTTTGATAGCGAATGTAAGAGAGTTTGTAAGTTTTGGCCCATGGGCCTCTCATAGAGAGAAGCTGTAGCCTCTGGCTAGCTGCCTAGCCTCCGTCTCGGCGTTATGTTGCTTAGCAACCGTGACAACGTAAAGCACAGAGTGCCGAAGGAAAAAGAACGGACTCGAAGTTAGTTTTTTACTCTTTATTTCTGTATTATTCTTCACTTTTTGTAATAAAGGCTGTTCCATAATAAGAAAGAAATCTGTTGATTCTAAAATGTTCAAACATGTTTAGCAAGGAATGTAAGCAAATTATTCATTTTCAAATACTCTCTAGATCTCAGGAAGTAATACATTAGTTAAATAAAACTGTTATGTTTTAAGGCTTAGCTTTAATCAGTCAAACCCATTTGCTCAGGAATAAATTAAATACTTTAGTGAGCCAAACATTTTTACAGCTATTACCAGACTTAATATCTGTGTTTCACCTCCACTCATAGGGGAAAACTAGCGGGAGTTTTTAAAACGATTTGCCGGGAGACATGGGTTCTCTCTCGGTGTACCGAACCTGGAGCGCCCGGCCAGCTGACAGCAGGCGAGGGGAGCTGGCTGTTAATGCAGCGGGAGCAGATCTCCGAAAAACCGGAGCAATATTGCAATTAAGTGATTTATTGATGAACCGAGCAGATATCTGAGATCTATACATCAACATTCTCACCGAAAAACATTGTAAAAAATCATTTTGTGTAATTTTAAGTGTAATACAGCAAAAATAATTTTGCCGCCATTGCTGCTTTTCTGAACACCCGTTTTAAATGATGCAGAGCCTAAATTTGGACACAGTTGTTTTTGTTCGACTCCCTCTAGTGGTCTGGACTAGAAGATCTATCTAATTGAATTTCCAGTTCATTGTCTTTACCTTGTTTAATGTCCCTAATTTGATCATCATTCCTGTATCCAAAATCACCTGTGATATTCAGAACTCCTGTCAGGGCTGGATACAACCCAGCAGGGTTCATTTGATCATCATCTGGTTTTTCATAATTATTTTTCAGCTCAGCAAGCTGCTGCTTTAAGTTTTTCCGGTATTTTTCACCTTCTTCCTTGAATAGCTGTAAAATGTTTAATTCTAGTTCTCTTTTGGCTTGTCTTTTCTTTCCTTTGTTTTTTGCTTTGTAGTCTGCAATCCGAGTTTCCATTTGTTCACAAAGGGATAAGTCAAAGCTCCCATTTTCTGGCCATGGGCACGGAAGTCCTTGCGTTCTCTTTTGCCACTTCTTAGAAATTTTTGGAATTTGAGAAGCATATTCTGGGTTTTTTGAACCAATAATGACAATAGGTATGTTGCTCATCTTGCTTATTTAGCAGTTGTCTCACTATTAGAATTCTGTCTTTTGCAGTTTTGTTTCCTTCAACTTTTTAATTTTTCAAAATTAGTAAAAAATAAGTTGATTTTTAGTTAGTTATACTTGTAATGTTTGTTCCTTGTAGTATTATTGCTTATAGTTGCTAAATATTGTTAATTGTGTTAAATAGTCTTCAATAAATGTAACAGTTAACCAAGTTTTTTACAGTTATTCAACTCTATTTACAGTAAAATATACATTTGAAAAATGTTTAACATAGTTCAGTGTTACAGAAACAATGATTATTTGAATAAAAGTCTGTATTATTTTAGTTAATTCAAGGCTTTAGGCTTAAACCTCTTCACCGTTATAAGCAGAGGAGAGAAAAAAAGGAAAACTAAACTTCAGTCTGCTTCAGTCCGAAATGAGCAAAGGTGGGGGCCAACTTTGCGTAATAGGAAGTGGGCCGTCTTAAATACTATGGACTACAAATGGGTGTTAACAAAGAATGGTCTCAGTTCACGACAGATCCGGGACCGAATGACGTGTTGTGGAGAGAGAGAGAGTAAGAGAGAGAGGGGCAGGGCAAGAGAGAAAAAGTGAGAGAGGAAAGAGAGTGAGGAGGGAGAGAAGGGGGGGTAGGGAAGGTTCGTGTGTGTGTTTCTGGGAATTCAGCCAAGAAACTCTTTTCTTTCTCCCAACTTTTCTGAAATATAGCAGCAAGATATGGATATTTCCTATCTCTATTGCACAGCATAAAATTACACGTTACAAACAGCGTTAAACAATTGCAGTCAAAATGAAGACCAAATTTCAACTTTAATACAGAGCACGGCGGCTTCTAAAGCTCAACCTTACTTGAAAGCAGTCAGTTATTCAATAAGCCAAAAAGCCAAAAACATGCACATTTCAGATTTTTACAATATATACAGGCATGCCAATCAAATACTTACACAATAGACAAGATACATTACCAATTATTCAGCATTCATCTCAGCAACATTCATTCCATTTGCATTTCTACTCCTTATTCTTTCCTTACTCCTTCTCCTTCCCGGGGATTCTAGTTAGTGTAATTATATCTATTAATGTATTTATTATAAATATGTAAAATTTAGTTGGCTGTTTAGCCGCTGTCCAATTTTAATGTGTGCACACAATTAATTATATTAGGACTTCAGTTAATTTAGNTTTTACAAGGGTTGGTCAGCGTCGCTCCTTCACCCTGACGTTCCTTCCCTGGGGGGGGAGGGGGCGCCGATTTATGTTTTCGCATCCACCTGAATAATGTGTAGTTGCGCCACTGAGTGTCGGACCAAAGAAAGCAAGATAGTTGCAAGCCTTAAAATTGTGACGCTTATTATGGGTCAAAAAGACTCAAGAAATTGTAACAGCAGCTGCAAAGGGGGGGGGCCCAATTTAATTTTTTGTCACAGAGAACAAGATTCCTGGCGATGCCCCTGATCTTATCTGCTTTTATTCAGAAAATCATATGAAAAAGGTTTTATTTAAATATGACAAATCTTTATTATCCTACTCGCTCAGTGATTTTTTTATGTATCACACAATTATTGTGCAGGTATAAACTGATTAATTAAGTTTAGAAAATATGTATCAATGTGTGGCTGCATTTAATTACCTAAGTATTAGTTTATTATAACAATTGTTAGTTTGATACCAAGACGTAGCTTTGGTTGAGTAATTATCTCTCTTTCCATTAATTTCTGCATTTTGTGGTGTAGGTGAAGCAAAGTCCTGAAATATTTGTCAAAGTTCTAAACATTGTTTAGACCAAATGCTTGGAACAGAAGACCAAGACCCGTTCTTCAGAAGAACTGGTCTTCACTCCATCCCTGGTTTGATCGCTAATAGTCCTTTCAATCATTTGTCTGGAAGTTGGCAGAGAAGAACTTTTCTAAACCATCTCAACCATTTTATAACTTAAATGAAAGTAAATTAAGTGACGTTGAACCTGATATGGAAATGACAAAAAAAAGGATCAAACTACAGTTTCTTTATTTTATGGTATAATGTGCACAGAACACTAAAACAGCATAATTAAACTTTGTATGAAAAGAAAAAAAAAAGCTTATTTCCATTTTACAGAGCTTAACGTCTTCAACTGAGTTGCCCATCTACAAACATAAGTGTCTTTTACAGGCAAGCGACTACATGCTGGTGTCACAGGAGTCATGGTGGAATATCTGAAGAGTAAATATGAGCTTAATTGATTTTCTGAACCAGGGGTAGAAAAAGGCATAGATGATGGGGTTTAAGCAAGAGTTAAAGAAGAACAAACATATGACAAACGCGGCGGATGAAGCACTCATAGCGCTGCCTTCCCCCGAGAGAGCAACGCAGTAATATGGACACATGCACAGCAGGAACACCAGCACCACAAGACCAAGAGTCTTTGCTGCCTTCAGCTGGGAAGCTTTAGCCGTCACAGAGTGTCGGAGGCTGACGGCTGCGACGTGAGAGCGCGTGGCTCGAGACTGAGACACGGCTACCACAAACACTCTGAGATACAAAACCACAATAACGCTGATGGGAACAATGAAGGAAAATGCAAGATCAGCATATCCTGCGATGTAGCTAATGACAAAGGCGCACTCTCCGATGCAGGAGTTATACTTACCTGGCTGCTTCAGGTTCTCAATCAGAATCAGACTTTGAAATACCCAAGAACACATCCAGCACAGGAAGATGCAGACCTTGACTCTGCCTTGTGTGATTTTGGTGGAGTAATGCAGGGGGTAACAAATGGCTACATATCGGTCAAAAGATATGAGCACCATGGTCCCTATCGATGCGGAGGTGATAACATACGCTAGATACTGATACACCGTGCACATAATGTCACCGAGAAGCCAGCAGCCGTCTATGAAAGCAGTTTGAAAAAACAACAGGAGGCCCACAGAAAAGTCTGAGATGGCCAGCGAGAGGAGCAGGAGGTTGGTGGGAGTGTGCAGCTGCCTGCGGAAGAAGAGCACAACAATACTTTTAGACATCCATGTGCGCATGACTTAACATTAATTACAAAGGCTGGTGAATGTAGACATTCTTAAAAACTGCTGGGTGAGCACCTGAAATGTGAGATAGAGATGATGACCAGCAAGTTTAGAAAGGCTGTTAGGACAGCGATAGAGGACAGCACAATGTACATGAGTACAACCTCAAAGTGAGGAAGCGTCAGCCTCTTGCAGGAGGAGTTGAAGAGCTCTGGGAAGCAGAGTTCAGCTTCCTGCATCATCTCTGGTGGAAAGCGACTCTAAACTGTGGAGACCTCAGTTGTTTTTTTTTTTGTTTTTTGATAACCTGTAAGGTTATCTCCACCCTCTTCTCCTGTCTCCACGCCTCAGCTGTTTAACATGCTCCATAGAGATGTAGAGTCATTTCTTGATTGTTTTTTTTATTTTTTTATGTCTAGCTTCAACAGCTTCCACTCTAGGTTATCTGGCTTCTTTCCAATACTTTTTTCTAGGCAGTGTTGGAGTGACATGTAACTCTTCCAAACCAAGTGGTCTTTTCTCATCTATTAGATGTCAAACTGACAATACAGTATGACAGATACGATCATGGAATGAGAAAGAAATTTCAACAGCTAATTAAATTTGCCATACAAGGTTAGGTAAAAAATTATATGTACATAAGATCATAGAAAAGTCGATTAACAGAAAACCATGTGTTCAAACCATCATGTAGGAAAACAAAGGCTCAGCTAACAATAGTACATACACAGGCACACAACCCCAAACTTCCTAGTGTTTAATCTGGGTTTTATCTCGTTGATCAACGTAAAGTACATACATATTTTTAAAGTGTGAGGGAACTGATGGGTGGCTTTTCAACATTTTCTTTTCTGAAATACAAATCTGAAGAGTGTGAGGCCCATGTATAAAATACAAAAATCCTTTAGGGGAGTGAATGAAGCTGCAGCAACCCCTTCTGGACGACAGCTGACACACATTTCTAAAAGGTGCAAACTAATCATCCTTTGTGGGCAGTTTAACTGCTTTTCTCTGCAGGAGGTTGGTGGGAGTGACTAAAAACTACAATCTCTAATGTTGCACATTATTATGTCCTCTCTGAACTCGAAGATGGCGGTTCTCTGGCTGTAAGCTTACACTTGCTGACCTTTTGGCTCAGGCTCATTCCTTTGGCAGCCTCCACCAGGTTCTGTCCATTTAAAGTCTGGCCTGCTTGCTGAGGGAAAGCATCCCCCAGCACAATGCTGCCACTTTTTGCATTCACTGACTAATATGGGTAGAGCACTCAGGGTCACTGTGTATGTACTGTGTAGGTCCAGAGGTTCAGATTTGGTCTGCTATGTCCCCCACATGGCTTTTATTGAACCTCTTGTTACAACAGCGGCTTTGCTCTCCTTCAGATTTTCGTGGCTTGTGAGTTTTCACAAGATGTGAAAAGTCTGAATAGGTCCGATTCTCTTCGCATTAAGGCATTGTGAATGTGCCAGTTGATCCCATCAGTCGGAACATGCTGTTCAGGCCCTGCTGCTATTGTCTTTTCTACTTGCAGGAGCCTGTCTGTCTGTGTGTTTCTTGTTTGTTCAAAAACCTTGAAGAACTGTAGTCAGAGCAGGTAAAGAGTTCATGTCTCAAAAGACAAACTTTGAACTTGCTCTGAAATTAGAAGGACAGGAAACCGCAGACACTCCATGCTTTATTCATACACCGTGTTGCGCTTAACTTGCACGTTTTATTCAGTAAAAGTAAAAAATCAGCCTCTGACTGAAACCTGATTCACATAAAAAAAGCAGGAAAAGAGTTTTACTTGGTGGACGTCAAAAGGAATGAAACCAAAAAGAAAAAGGAGGATTTGAACATATGCTGAAAGTTTTACAAGTATGTGAGTATTATACCAATAAAACTTAATATGTTTTCCTGCACTGGTTTTCTTTTCACACAACACACACACACACACACACACACCTACACACACACACACACACACTTTAAACTCAGGTCCATTGTCTGGGCTCAGGGGAACACTTTCATTAGAAGCCGAACAAAACAAACATACATGAGGTTAATGGCTCTCCGATGAGTTTCTCCTGTCCACGATTCACACCTTCCTGTGTTAAACCATCGTCTCAGTGGAATCCTTCCAATCAGAGGTGTCGGCAAGCTAATCTTGGCTTCCACGGTAAACACATGATGTCAGTGCCACACATCAACTCATGATGCAAACGGTGTGAAAAGAAACACAATGCGATCTGTTATGTTTTCAATAAGTCGGAAGGTTCACAAAGTTTGTACTTTCTTGCTCTTCTTATCCGGCGGCAACGATCAGATTACCGAAAGAGAATATTTTCTCTTTCTTAAACTTGGTCAGAAACTCAAAGGTCTGGTTTGTCCTTGTGATAACACCTGGCACTGTGTAAACACCACTAAGGTGAAGTATTAGATTCCCAGAGAGACATGTGATGTGGGTCTCAAACACAATGGTCTCAAAAGTCTGAAGTTTTGTGCGAGGTAAAATAAAGGGACTTTGATAGATGCATTTTTATGGACCATCACATATATCATGTACCATTGAAGTGAGAAACAGACATTTCTTAGGGGAAAAGGAATCAGAATCCCAAAGCTACATCAACCATTTACAGCAGTTCTGACTAACTTGAAATAAAGCTCATGTCCATGCGGGGTTATCCAGACGTTCGCTAGTTTACATCGTTTAACTAAAACCACAGCTTGACGAGACACTTGAAAGTTTCAGAATGATTTCACTGTAAATACGCATCAATCAGGAAAATAACGAAAAAAATCCACAAGGCAACTTTGGCACAAAAACGGCGTCACCACGTCACGGTGGTTGAACAAATCATGAATTTAAAACTCTGAGGTACTTGAACATATTGTTGTTGGTTTTCTTTTGCAGTGGTAGGCATGCATTCACTAACATCAGAGCTATTTATCCGTTTAGCGATTTGGCTAACTTTAAAATGTTTAGCACACTTAGCTTCCCCTAGGTGAACTTTACCTGCTAAATTCAGAAGCACTAATTTAATTTGGCTTGTTGCTTTTGAACAGGTTGAACGTCTCATTACTTGTGAAAAAAAATTAAATAAAATAACCAAAGTCATAATTTCATGATAATTTTTCATTGATTGAAATGTTATGCATAAAAACTTTGAACAATGGCTTTAAGGATTAAAAGTTGTGCCTTTTGAGAGGCACTTTAATTTGCTACACATGTCAAGCAGAGATGGGAAGAAACAATTAAGCCCAAAATTATTCAAACCCCTGACAGAGTTATTCTTAATGTTATTTACAGTCAATCGGGAAGTTTGTTTCTGGGAGGAAATGACACGGGGTTGTCTCCGAAGGTAATAAAACTATAAAAAATGAATCAGTTTGGGTCAGAACTCGGCACACAGCGACTTGTATTTGTGATTTCTGTAGGCGTTCAACATGGTGTGCCTCACACCCCTCCATCATGACTTTGCACCTCAGAAGCGTCAGATCCCGTGTTTGACAGTCAGCTGCTATTGAGGATTAGAAAGGTGGCTATACTCTTAAATATCTAAGTAAGGGAAATAACGCACAGAGACGTAGTTCTTGCTGCTAGGCCATAGACGAGCTGGAGATTTATTACACTTCCACGGATTCCTCGTTACAGTTTCTTCAGTTCAATACAAAAATCTTCATCATCATCGTCTTGTCACAAAAAATCTCCCCGAAGTCTTACCATCAACCTATTTTATACCTTCTCATCTTCATCAGTGTGTGTTGGAAAGTTTCAACCAATGGCGTGCTACTGTTGTTTTGCAGAAAGATTCTGGCACGCTTTATACTGAGTGTGTATTGGGCGACCTTTAAAATATTTTGGACCTCACGAACTCAACATCTGCTCCATTTCAGAATTGCTGAATAGTATAATTTATCTCAAATTGTTGATTTTATCTTGCACAAACAGACATCCTTTTCCAGTAAATTCTGGCTCCATTTGCGCTTTGCACGCAAATGGAAGGAAAGAATTCGGTCAGGTTGACCTAGTGCGAAGCCAAAGTCTTGCCGAGGCGCCAGTGTCTTTTTTCCGCCAAACAACTCCTTAGATAGTATTTCCGCTCTTACACTGCGGTCTGCATCAGTCCTGTACTTTTGTCTGGGACTTCTTTGTGGCCTTGATGCCTCTTGACAGACGTCTGTCACACCCTTAGCTGGATCTTCCACATACATTATCATTCCTTCTTTGTTTGAACTGGTGCCACATAGGAATGTAACTGGTTGTTTAGCCGACATCCTCAACGGTTTTTCTTCTAAACAGGACATGACTGCGTCTACACAAAAGCTCCAACAGCCGTTCGCCAACCTGTCATTTGTTAGAGGGGCCAAATGCTGCCGTGTTCTTGGCAGCTACGTCTGCAGTCGCCTTCACATGTTGACAAAACTAAAATCCATCATCACAAATCGTGGCAAGTTGTTAAAATTTTTGATTTGCAACCAACACCTTTTGATTCTTAGTAAGGTAAGTGTTGAAGCATGAAGAAATGAGAAACCGTTTCAGGTGTACAAATTGTTTACTTGGTTTAAGTTGCAGATCAGTAATGGCAGAGCTCCACTTCATCTCGCATGTCAGCAAGGTGGAGGTGGGCCCGTGTCCTGCAACTTTTAGCTGGGTTCCTGGTTCAACGCACCTCAGTCACATGGCTGAATCACCTCCTCAGTGCAGTCACGTTCTCCAGAGTGGTGATAATGACCTGATTATTTGTCCCAGACCTGGATCTGAGGACCCCTGCTCTAAATCATCACTATCTCATTTGACTGCACTCTCCCAGAACAGCATGGATTTTATTCAGGGCAGGGCTCCATCGTGTGGATCTGTGTACTGGAATATGTGGGTAAACAGGAAAGGCCTTAAAAATGAAAAATGAAAATAAAAATGAAATGTGACAAGATGGCCCATCCTCAACATAGCATAAAACCTCTGATCCTTCTAAAACGAGAGATGTTTGTTGAAGGAAAACAAACCATTTCTCAACTGAAAGACGTCACAGACTAAGGGAATGGCAGGCCTGTGACTCTTATTGAAAAGATGGGAAGGCAGGGGACCCATCTGTGTTATTGGAGTTATTACTCTCTTTAGTAGATGAAAATAAACAAGAGAGATAACAAGAATTTTTTTATTTTGTCCATTTGGATAATAATACTTCCACAAGTTTATTTTTCTATGAAAGTCAAAATCTCCCTTTTACATTAAATATTCTGATCTGAACTTTGTGGATTTACTGCGAGTGGTAATGAACCACGCACACACACACACACACACACACAACAGTAGTCTGGTCTGTCTGTAACCCAAGTAGGAAATGGACATATGCAGAAGTGAGTTTGGAGGATATTATTTCTTCCAGTGTTGCATATTTCAAACATGTTGGCATAAAAAAGCTGAGCTCTTTACATGCTATGTTCACTAAAGCACATTCTACACAGTAATCTCTGCACATTATGTTTTTTTCAAATATCCATTTGTTTTTTGCAGACATTGTCTGTAACACTTCATGATTTAATTTTGTTGTATTCCCTGTGATGTGGAGGAGTTACTAATGTTTTATTTGTACTTATTTCTTGTTCTGTTTCTTGCGTTTTACTCCTTCTACTAAAACTCCATCGCTCCATTTTAAAGCAAATGCTTTGTGAAAAATATTGACCTCAACCCTTCGGTTTTTGCACAATGTTGCCATCTTCTGTCCAGTGTCGGTTTGGCAGAAAACGATTCCTGCTGTTCTCCTTCCTGTTTCCAAATTATTTTATTTACTATGGAGTAAAAATCTCTCCAAGCAAACCTGGCCCAATGAGAAAACGTTCTTCCTCTCTAAACCAGGGCCTTTTTCATTCCACACATCTGACAATAATTGGGCCTTTGTGTGGCTTCGTGCCAAACCATTTAAATATGGGGGAAAAAGAAACAAGGGTGAAGAAGAAGAAGAAAAACCCTGAGGATTTTGTTTTTTTGGAGCATCATCTGTGACTATTATGTTCATTACATCAAAACGTGGGACTCAAATTAGGAAAACCTCAGTATACTGCTGGGAATTATTTACGTATTTTTTTAATTGAGAAAGACAAAGATAGATCACAAGCATATAACTTAACAATAAAAACATAAAACACTTACAAATAATATCTGTTTCAATAAAAGTGATTTAAAAATAAAATCAAGACAAAGCAATCTAATAAATCTTGATGCATGCAGTTTTTTCTCTGTCCACTAGAGGTAGGCAAGCATGGCGAAAGATTTTGGGGATTTATTTTCATAATTCCTTTTTGATTTGTGTTTAATATTTACATCCATTAAATTCGTTCAGAGTTTAATGAAAAACTTTAAAATCATTTGAACTCTGTATAACCTGAAGCCTGATATTTAAAGGAGCAGCTGAAGCTCCATCAAACTGACTCGAAGGGAATTTAGAGACCAACACAAATGAGTAAAAAAAAAAAAAACTAAGACATAAAATAGCTTTAGTACCAGTGATATTAAAGGTCGTAATGTGTGTGGGTAAACTGAATCTGCAATTTCTTAACCCAGCAACAAAGGAAAAAAATAATAAAAACTGGCTCATAGTCAAGCTGTTCTGACTTGAACAGCTTCAAGTCAGATTTTCCATCCAAACATAAAACTCTCTGAAAGCTTCTCTCAAATGTATATACCTGACATTTATTACTAAACAGTTTGTCATGATGGTCATCGTGACCAGGTAGCTTCTTCTGGTGTGAATGTGAACAATCTCTTCAGGCAGTCTGTGGCTCCTCCTGCTGGTTCCGTTCGGTAGAACACCGTTATTAAAGCTGTACTGAGGGTTTATCAATGCCTGTTCATGTGAGGTGTTTACTCTTCAATCACTCAGCCTAAGACGACATCTTTTGGTAAATGTCTTCATGCTGCCCCTTGTGGGTTGGAGGCTTCATTACCACATAGGTGGAGTTCTCACAAGCTTTGGTGCTTCTCTGGAACAAAAACGAGATTTATTTAGGCAGTTTAATTCAGTCTGTGTTGAGACTGAATTAGTCAGATTTGAAATTAGTTTCTTTTCTCGTTTCTCAAGGACGATTTCTGCTTATTGCATCATTTAAAGGAGGGAAAGAAAAGATGAATAAACCATTATTCAAGAGTCAAAAATATTAATACAATGAATAAAAATGGAGGATCACTGTAGTTGCAAACAGTTAAGACCAAGCTTATCAATAACAGGGTTAAATATTAGCTTCTGTTTATTTCAACTCTAGAGAGAAACCAGAAGTTATGATAAAGCAAAACATTTAATGAGCTAAATATTCAAAGCGTCAACCCTCATCATAGAAATGTCTCTTTTTAAATAATAGTTTATCATTTTTTTCTTTTTTAGTTTATTATTCTTTAGATTAGTTTAAGTCTAAATGGACAGAGCAGTTTGTGTTGATTCCAGCTGTTGTTCGACCCAAATATCCTCTGCTGGGTCAGAGTTCACATTTCTTAGCTGAGTTGATGTGTGGCCCTCAAACAACCAGCTGATGATTCAGCTTTTCTACATCCTTGATCTGAGCCTATTTTCACGTCATGCAGCTGGTAGTGTGGAACTAAACATTCACCTGTTTGGTTAAATTTAAATTATTTCAAATCTAAATTGTAGCAACGGTGAACTTGACTGTATAAAACACGGGCCATCTCTTTTAATAACACAAATCTTCTTTAGGTTCTTTTCCTTAGAAACAGCTCAGTGGTAGCTTCTGAAATAGATTATTGAATTGCATGAATACATAAACCCAATCAAGTTTTTCTTCCAGACGTTAGCAAGCATCAGCCTGATGAATTTTCAGTCACTCAGACCTTTCAGTGTAACTGGGCCCAGTTAGAAACCTTGATAAACACCAGAGTCTGTCTAACCACAAACTTCCTTTGTCTTTATTTCTAGCACCAGGTGTGGTTTAGAGATTTATTCACCGATTCATTTCTTCCAGTCTTGCCCTATTTCTATTTCCTGTTTTTTTTTTTTTCAAACTCTATGCATTTTGTTTCAGAGGAATAATTTCATATTTAGACGTTTTTACAGTGAAATCACAAATCTGCTGAGAAGTGACAGCAAAGATAACGGTGTTCCAACATGCGTCATGTTGGTACAGCGTGACTCTACGAGAAGCTCAAAGTGGAGCGTGACGTGTTGTTTTTATCTGTTTCAAATCACCTCTGCTTGGTTTTCAGCTACATTTTCTATTGTTTCAATTTATTTTCATGGTGTGAAAGGTGGAAGGTGAAAAGTGTGAAATAAATCATTTCCTCCTCTCTGACAGCCAACAGTGGGAGCTGCTACAACACGCAACCCAACCCTTCTGTTCTGAAGGGGCTCTGCGTTTGAAATTCCTCCCACAGCAGCGCTGAAAATGAAAATGCATCAGCATCACACCAAGCGCATCTAGAGATAGAGGCTGAATGTGGAGACATAACTAGTTTGAAAACAAAGCAGTGGAGCTATTTAATGCAACACTTTCCTCATAAGGTTAAGAATTTGATTTTTATGTGTATTTTTTGGAAATAAATTAAATGTATTAATAGATTTTTTCCCCTAAATTATAAATATTATTGATAGTCTCCATGCTGGAATGTTTGCTATAAATTCTTCCTTCATGAAAAAGTTTCTGTAAACTTTAAAATGAGTAAAAGCAGTAAATCGGTTACCCAGATGGTGGCTGTCCGTTTGATGTAGAGGCAGGTGATTATACAGCTGTACAGGAACATCAGGGCCAGCAGGCCAATCAGAATCCATCCCAGCTCAGACTTATCAAGAGGAGAACAGTCCATTTCACCTGATTACAAACAACACAAACGTGAAAGTAGACCTTAGAAATGAATTCATCTTGGAATATTCTAACTGTACAGACACAGATCTACTATGTGGTCCCATTACTAGTAACAACACATTATTTTAGTTACTACATTTTAGTTCAAGAACCAATCATTTCAAATTGTGCAGCTCCTTTCTGTGAGAAGGAATCATATTGTGAGAAGAATGACTTCCTCCTCATTCTTCTCATGTGGGCTCGTTTAATGCCTTCTTAATAGTTACTTTCAGAAGGTAATTTTAATCTGACCAATTGGGTCTCATGCGCACATATATTCTGATTTATTGAATATGACTGTATTTATAAGGAACTCAGTCTATTTTGCCACATGAGAAACTTCAGTGTTTTATCAGGTTTTGCTCCATTAGCTTGTGAGAGATTATTTGATTTAGATTTTTTTTTCGTCACGTGTGCAACATGAATATTTCTGCATTTGTAAATACTTACTTTTCTGTAGTTTTTTTAGTTTTCCTCTTTCAATGTAAACCACATCATTTTCTTTAACTATTATTTCACACTGATAGGTAAATTTCATTTCTTCTGGTCCAACGTCTTGAAAAGTGAAAACAATTTTGTTGGGATTCCGCTGATGTGTGGTGACAGGCGAGCAGGAATCTGCTCTGCTCTTCTGGAAGACCATCTGTTCTGAGTTATCTCTAAAAGTTGAAACATAAATGAAATATTTAGTCAACTACATGCACAGATAAATGTCTATTAATATAGCAAATGACTGCTGGTCTTTATTGATAAATAAATGTAGAAGCCATCGCCAGGACACTCACTGTGAAATCCTATACAGTCGTGCTTTCTGAATGGTGGATCCCTCTGCCTTCGGTTCACAGCTGATTGAAGCCGTTTGGTCTGGGTTCACAAGCTGAACCTCCGGCTGGATCACCTTAGAAGCTGAGGGTTAAAAAGGATCGGTAAGGAAACGCAGAGCCAGGTACGACCCGCTGGTTCATTTTGATAGAATGAAACTGATTTATACCAAAACAGTATGAAAACTGACTCCTTACAACAAAGAAGAAGTTTCATACTGCATTGCTCTGTTTGCTGAGATGACACTTCAGGGCAGAAATCTAAATAATTACTTTCATTTATTTCAAAGAATGTTAATGATTGTGCTACAATCATAAATCTAAACAATTAAATGATTTTCCTTAAGCAAAGGTGGATAATAAATTATTTTTCCATGAGCCATTGCTAAAGTATTATGTTGGGATTGTTAAGTAATAAAATATTTTCAAAGGAACACGTTCTGTATTTATTTTGCTTTGGGTTACATACCATATACCAGTGTGGTCTTTGTTCCTCTCCTGGTGTAATCCACATCGTTATACTCCACTGTTATCTCACACCGATAGGCAGCTCTTATTGCTTCTGGTCCAATGTTTTGTAAAGTGAAAACAAACTTGGTAGAACTCAGAATCAGGTTGACATCCTTACAGGGAGCTCCCTTCTGACACAGCATCTCTTCTTTCCCATTCCTAAAAGTCAAAGCATAAATCAGATACTGAGAGATCTGACAAATTCGAAGCAAAGTATTTATTTGCACTTTAATTTGAATGCAAACGTTTTTCATGCAACCCATGCAGAAAAAATGAGGAAATACAACATGTTTTACGGAGTGGAAATATGTTAAGTCTTCACATATTTAAGAGGAATTAATGAATAAATTCCCACAAAAAATAAAAATCAAAGAAGATCAGCTGTTACAGATAATGCATCTGTTTTAGAAATTATATTTTGATTAGAGACGATGAGAAAGCATGAAAGATGCACACATGTGAGAGGAGGAATGAAAGTCAGTAGAAACAGAACGTGTGTTAATGAAACAACTATCCAAAGCAGGAAGCAGAAAACTAATGAGGGGACAAAGATCAGGCAGGGAGCGTCGACTCATATCATCCTGCCATGAGGATGTAGACACAAGCAATAACATTGGGATGGCATCTCCTGGCACATGTGGACTCTAAACTCTGACTAAAGTTTGCTTGGTTGTACTTTATCCTCACTTCATTAGCTCATGTGTGTTAGTCTTACGTGTAGAACGTGTGAACCGTCTAGTAAAATACAGAATTGGCAGTAAAACATAACGGAAACACAGGAAACATTAAGGCCACCACAACTTTCATGGCGAGACCTAAAATTCCCCCCACTGTTAAATTTGACAAGTTCAACAGTTCAATTCAATTAATATGCTAAAGTTATTTAACACAATAACTGTGTACAAAAACACAGTAATTTTGATATTAACATTAAAATTAACCTCTGTTTTAAGAGCGGACAGTCAGACACACCACATTGTTTCAACATCTGCGCCCTTTTGAAAACGTCCCTCCAGTTCCTCTCCACGTCCTCAGAAGCAAAAACTCTTGCAAAAAAGACTGAAACTAAAATGGCTGCCAAAAACAACAACAGTTTAGACATGTGAATATAATGTGTTGGGGTTCAGATGTGCAGAATGTGTGACAGGAGTGGAGAGAGACACGGAGCCTCGTCCACTGGATAGGATAATTAAAGTAAGAAGCAGTTTATTAAAACAATATCTAAACTGCTGTCTGCAGCATTCTCGCTACATGGAATCAATGTTACAGTCTACTGAATGGAGCTTCATTTGGTCAATTAATACAATTAAAACTCTGGTTTAGTTGCGACACATTAATTGTGACATTATGTCAGCCTTTAGCTGAATGGGGACCAGAAGGGACACTCTCTTCAGAAACACCAGCAGCATTCTGACAATATGAAGCTAAAACTGTCTTTGACAAATTTGCAGTAACATTTTGCCAATACTTCACAACTGCAACCATATAAAACACAAACAGGGCTGCATTCCTTGGGGAAAAATAACTTTTTGTTTTGACAGTTTGTTCATCACAAATTCACAGGAATAGAATCACAATTCATTCATTTTGCGCTTGGCTTTACTAATTTGCAATGCAGTTTCGCTCAATATGTACATTTTAGATGTACAGTTGAATCTCATTAAAGTCTGTTTATGTCCATCTATGCTTATGGCAGTTTTCCCATGAGTGTGTGTGTGGGTTGCCATCTGAGTAACAGACTCTACACTTTTACAGTCCTTCAACAAGGAAACTAATCCAACTCTGTTTTTAAGACTGTCCTGAGTAAAATAGATTAAAAAGTGAAGAACAGCTGGAAAAACGTGTGTAAAAGAACATAAAAAAACAATAACTAGTGGAGATATACTAGCAGGAAATCTAGATTAAATTACTCATGAGACGGTTGGTAAGAAAATGATGATGATATGCAGCTGTGGTTTGAACCCACAGTGGAACAGGAGGCACAAACAGGCTGGTTCACAAAACGCTCTGTCTGGGGAGTGGATTCATTTTTCAACACAACTTAGAAACTAACATATTTAAGGACTGACTTCTTCCCTCTGTGACAAATAAACGGCAGCCATTTTCAGCCTCTTCAGGTCTAATAAAAAATGAAAAATGATCTGATTCAACGCGTGGTTCCAGCAGCAATCACCATAACACTCACTGTGAGATTCTGTACAGTCGAACATCCATAAGTTTAGATCCACGAGAGTCATGTTCACAGCTGATTGAAGCCGTTTGGTCTGGGTTCACATGCTGAACCTTTGGCTGGATCACCTTAAAATCTGAGGGTTGAAAAAGAAACGGGTTTGTCCTGGGAACTACAGTCAGTCAACATCTACAAATATATTAGAATAAATATGTTAATACAGCAGTAACAATCTGAAATTAAAAGACGTCATGCATTTTGTTTTTTTCTAAAGAAACAAGAAGTTTAAAAAAAAAAGTTTCCTGAAGTCCCAGTGGAACATCAGGTCACATTGACATTTCAGCAACTTCAATTCAATTCAGTATATTTATATAGCGTCTATTCACAACGAACGTTGTCTTGAGGCACTTTATCAAAAAATGTAATTTCAATTCAATCACATATATTCAATTAATCCTAGTTATGAGTCAGTTCATAAAGCTCTGTATATTACTGAAATTCATCTGAAAGGTTTTCTATCTAAGGCAGATGTTTAAAAGATGTGAACAAACCTCAACTATTAGGTAAATTTCTTACCATAACTGAAGACAAATACTGGGGTCAGAAAAAATAAATTGAAGATAAAAATGTTCAAGTTCAGGCGTGACATCTTAGCAGTGCTATCTTCTTCCTCTGTAGCAAAGAATAAATATATTAAACCTCTACAGACACTCCGCTGTGATCATTCAGTGATGGGTTGTTAGTGGTAGACTGTAAAGAGTTTGCTCGCACCACGATGCACGGTGGTGTCTTTGGTTTGTGTGGGTGACTCCTTTTCCTGTCTCGTCATGTTGTTTTCATCCCCAGTAAGAACTTTAGATCGCTGAGATAGTGAGGAGGTTTTGCAGTGATAGCGTGTGAATCTTGCAAACTTTGCTTTAAATGTTCAGAAAGCCCCATTTTCAGGTTATTGTTGCTGTGGCCCTAAACAGTCAGCAAACTTCATGTCAGTGTCGTCACATAGACTGAGGTGAAATCTACCTAACTAGCAGACAGGTCGATAAAAAAGACAAATAAATGAGCTTGAAGTAATTGTCTTTCTCTGTCAGCAAAGATTACCTATCCAAAGTTCCCCAGCAACAGCCAGGAACCTCTTCTCCTCCTCCTCCTCCTCCTCCTCCTCCTCCTCCTCAGGGATTCTCTACAGAGCCGAGCTGAAACCTGTTCCGTGGCTGATGAAGTTTTTCTCTGAGTCCACAATAAGGTACAAAGTTTGTGACAACCAGGCGGCTGTAAAAAGCTCCTTAAGTCTGTCCCCAGAAAACATCAAGAATGGACTAAAACTAATTTTACCTGAGGTCTGGCTGCGGATTTGGAGGAATATTCTGTCCACCACAAAATCTTTAACATGGCGCGATTTCGGCTGGAAGAATCTATTCAGATTTTTTATTACGCCAAAGCAGAAATCGAAGCTGGGTGATTCTCAGTTCTCTTGCTGGAGGGAGTGTGGTGTGGTCTCTGCAGACTGTTTTCATATTTTTTGGGACTGTCCACAATTGAAAACCTTCTGGAAGGATGTTAATCAAGTAATCTATGAAATTCTGGGTATAACTTTAGCCCTTTCATTTCCTGCTATGTACCTTGGAATACTTACTCCCTGAAGGACTCGATAATAAGGACACATACTTGTTGAAGATATTTCTGATTGCAAGCAAGAAGGTGATTACTAAATGTTGGCTCCAACCTAGAACCCCTACTCTGAAGCTTCTTGTGAATATCATAAACTTGATATACAATATGGAAATGTTGACATTTACAATACGTCTCCAGAAGGAGAAAGGAGAGAGACTTTGGGAAAAATGGGGTTATTTTATAACCAAAAGTGGGTAACAGTTGATGTTTGTGATTCTACATCACTCGGACAGACACCTGGGAGCTTTCTTCTGTATTTATTTTGTGTAACTTCATGCAATGAAATGTCTGCATTGTAATGGTCACCAGTATGACTATCTGCTAATTGCCCTAGCCCTCATGTTCTGAATGTATGTGTTGTTTAAAAACGAATAAAAATAAAGTATATAAAAAAGAATGGACTAAAACTCAACGGGAGGTACAAGGTGTCAGTTTTTGGCTGTTTTACTCTGTTGATTGTTGTTACAAAATCAGTCGTGATAAAAAATAATTTGACTTTTTTTAATATATATATATTGGAAAAGCCCAAGAAAATATACCCATTCATTTTCTTACACCCTTGTCCCTGGTGGGGTAGGTAGGTTTGATACATGTTTTCCTTTTTTTAATAATGTAAACAGCAATGTGAACAAAAAGCAGTCAAACCAACACCGACCTCCTCCCTCTCAGAGCATAGAACACTTTCATGATTATGAGTATCCTAGACTGTAATATTACATGAAAAGCGAAGTATCTCTTCTGGACTCATGAGGCAACACAATATGCATGTTTAATTTAATAAGATTAGGGAAGTGTACATAAGAAGTGTGTTGGCAGGGATGTGAGGGAGAAACCTGGGCAGCCGTACCATCTCTGGCCGACAGCGATAGAGTAGGCATGAAAATTAGGCCAAAACAGTTTAAGTGCAAAAAATTTGACTTTTATCTTATTAATTAAGGAAGTTTATGGTTCACACCAGTGGTGCCTACAGACATTTTGGGAATGAAGGTGTAACCCAAGTGAAATGTTGAGTTCCATTTTCTGGTTCGCTACTATTGCCCTCCAAAATCTCCCGGTAGTTTGATTATATAACTGCAATTCTCGCGAGATTTACTAAGCAGCCAATCATTGTTGAGCGTCTGAGTCACATGCACCACCGTCAGCTCATTTGTTGGGTATATTAGCTGGAGCAAAAAGCATGGAGGATTAGAACAAGTTTGGGAGAGCAGAGCTGCAGGTCGGTTAAGCGCAACATTCTGTTTTTCTTTAATCTTGTATGATGCTGATAAAATTGTACTAACTTTAGGAGTCTCCGATCGTGAGCTGAGGGATAAAGAAACACAAAACCGCTTGCATGCCTTATGAACTGCGGAATTGGTGAGTCATTTTATGAAGACTTGGCGTTAGTTGATATCAATTCGGATGCTGTATTGCGACTCTGAACAAACAAATTGGAGAATAATGAGATGCCTTAAATAAAAGTATTTGCTTATCTTGATGATTTTTGCATTGTTTGTTGTTTGTATGGAGCATATTTATTGACTTTTTATGAATAAGATTTATCTAGAAAATTTGTACTTGGAAATGCATTGATTAGGATTATTCATAGTGCAATGAGTGCCGATCATATTTTTTGTGTGCACACTGGAATGTTTGATATATATATATATATTTGAGACTGGTCCTGCTTTATTGTACAGGCCAGGTTCGATGGCGAGCTGAAGAATCAGGTCCAAGAGCCTAAAGGATTTCACCTATGGTGTTGAGATTTGGTTTCCCCACCAGGCTGGTGGGAGGCTTCCTGCAGCCCATGAACAAAATTGTTTCCACTCTGATCTGACTTTTGTCAGCATATGAACTGTAACAGGCGCTCTAAACTCACCTGACCCTGTTGAACCGCCTCAGTTCAGGGGGGTTTTATGAACTGAATGGTGTGGCTTGTTACTGGAACTGTGGAACTGATTTGTTTTTTTGTTAATTTAATTTTTCTTTGTATTATTTCCTTTTATTTTAATATGGCCATTTAAATGTTTTTTTTTCCCTTCTTATTGTAATGTAAATAATTAATCACTGTGAATACAAGGCACTCACATCTGCAACTTCTAGTCTGTCTACTCCTTCCTGAGCCGTATCTAGACTTCTAAGAACTAGCCCATTGACTTTGTTGGTCATGATCTATTTTTAATTATCTAGAAATATAGTATACTGGTTACACAGATATGCTACAAAGGGAAGTGATCTTGTGCTGCAAATTGGACTACCACAGATTTATGATTGCACCTCCTGCAGTTTTCCAAATCTCACGGCCACTTTATGTAACCTCACACAAGAAAATTAATGCCTTTGTCTTTCTCTTTATCTTCCATTAAAAAGCAGCTTGTCCAAATAAAACGGATAAGAACAATTTGTTGTATTAGTGAACGGCTTCAAAGTGAGCTGCCCTGTTGGTTCCATGGCTAACCTGGGAAAAAAACTCAAATTAAGGATGCACTTTAAGTTCAATTCTTAGGATTAATAAAACAGAAAACATCATAGGTTGCTGTAAAGGTAGAACACTAATCCACAACCAGCTTTCAAGCGGAACTTTCTGAGTAAAATTTGAAACTCAAACTATCCTTATTTGCCCTGTGCACATTGAGTGCCATATGTTTGACTTTACTATATTGCTTTGTATTTTTTATCACAAAATGTCCTCTGCACCACACAACCTTGCGTGGTGACTAACCAAGCTGCCCTGACACTAACCGAGTGGTCGTCATAAACCTGAGTAACCAGAGACTATACAGTAAAATCAACCACGGCCAAAAATAGAATGAGAAAATTCTTGTAATACAATGTACTTGTTGAGTGCAGCACAAGAGTAATATGTGAACTCATTAAAATGCTTGAGAAGCAATGCACCAAGAACCACTGGAGGAAGCGATACAAAAACCTCTAAAGACGACACCGAGCGTTCTCCGGTCCAGTTGGTGTTCACATATGCTTTCTAACCGCACCAAACTTTACTTCAACTGAACCCAGACCAACGGTTTCAGGCACAACGCATTTAGCCTTTTTTGTCCTCATCAGAGTTAGATGATACATTCACACCTACAAACAAACCGGGCTTTCTAGACTAAACAGGACTGGTGTGAATGCAGCCTACAGTGAACCTCCCCTGGAGTTCAGTTAGGCCATCATCAGCATTGAAGTAATCTGGTGCCTAGATCAGAATGTCCCCTGAGAGACCATGAAGGAGACCAGAGAGAGAAGACACCAGCTTGCCATGACTACACTAAAGGAGTTTCAAGCTTCAGCAGCTACAATGGAGTGACTCTGCAGACAACTGTCAAAGCTTCACCAGTCAAAGCTTTATGGGAGAGAGACAATAAGAAAGTCACTTTTTGTCTCTCTTGGTCTGAAGAAAACTCAGATCAAGGCTGGACTAGAGTTTGCCAAAAGGCATAAGGGCAGAAACTCCTTGGTCAGTTCTTTGCACTGCTGAGACCAAGTCAAGTCTAGTTGTATTCAGCAACAAGGCGGTTCAAAGTGCTTTACATCACTTTTGATACACATCTCTACATTACAGTATCACAAGGTGAGTATGAATGCTCTTGATGTTGAGATGTATAGAACAATTGATGTGTGAATACGACATAACTTTCTCCAGCTCACTGAGAGATACCTGGAATTATTGTTTCTAGAACTAAAGAGGAACGATTAGGTCAGTAATTACAGCTAGAAACTGATGATCAGGCCTGAGATCTGGGTGTAATGATGAACTCGGACCTGAACCTGAAGAGTCACATAAAGACCGTTATAAAGTCGACCTTCTATCACCTGAAGAACATTTCCAGGATTAGAGGATTAATCAGCAAGACCTAGAGAAACTCAACAATGCATTTATCTTTAGTCACACTGATTACTGAAACAGTGTCTTCATAGGTCTGCCTAAGAAAAAAAAAAGCTGATCCAAAATGCTGCTGCTGTTGTTCTCACTAAAACCAGGAAGACAGAGCACATCACCCAGTTCAAAGGTCCTTACACTGACAGAATAGACTTTAAAATACTTCTGTTAGAATAGTGGTTCTCAACGTGGGCAGTACCGGCACCCAGGGGGCGTTTAGAGGACAGCAGTGGGCGCTGACGGAAATTTTTACAAAAGGGGGGCGCTGAGATTCCTTTGAGGGGCGTTTGCTTAAAGGTAAACTTTACACCTTAAATGCACAACAATACCAGTTTAGACTTTGATCAACTTGCTAAAACTGTATTGTGTAACATTAAAACATGTTTGGCTGCAACTGTATCGATGGCAACTCTCCTTCTCTTCAGTGTTTGTAGCTTCTTGGAGCAGCTCTGTTCTCTTGCTACTGGTAGCTTCACCGCATCAGTTCAGCGTTNCACCGGCTGACGAC